CACAAGTATTCAACGGCACAGAAGTGGACACATATTTGGGTATTCCATACGCGGAGCCACCGGTCGGTGACCTCCGCTTCCGAAGACCAGTGCCGGCGAAAAAGTGGTCAAAACCTTTGGACACAACCAAATGGCCAAATGCTTGCTATCAATCAGACGTTGAGTTACCAATGATGCACAACAAGAATCGTAGCGAAGATTGTCTTTATCTCAATGTATTTTCACCCAAACCTAATAAGTCGGACACTGAACTCAAACCAGTTATGGTATGGATATATGGCGGGGCTTTCATTATAGGCTCGTCCAGTGATTCGAGATATAATCCACTCGTATTGTCCACGAGAGGGAATGTGATCTTTGTGTCTATTAATTATAGGTATTTCTATAGTAAAGCTATTAATTTGTTGTTTTGCTAATTTTTGTTTTATGCCAAAGATTGTCGTCTTTGGGAATGTTATACTCGGGAACAGATGACGCGCCCGGAAATACACTCTTCTGGGACCAGACATTAGCCCTTCAATGGGTGAAGAAAAATATTGCACGCTTTGGCGGAGATCCCAATAGAGTGACTATATAAGGACAGAGCGCTGGTAGTATATCAGTGTCTGGTCTTATATTATCGCCAATTAGCCGAGATTTGTTTCAAAACGCTATAATGATGTCCGGATCGATGCTTCTCTATGGAGGCGTCGATATACCCGAAAATTCGCTCAAATATTGGTTAAAACAATCGCAACAAATCGGGTGTTCAGATGAAAGTGACCACAAGTTTACACCAAAAATAATGGATTGCTTGAGAAGAGTGCCGATTGAAAAGTTGGCTGTAATTCCTTTAAGTCCTTTCATACGATCAGCTGATAAGTTAGATGTCGTTCCCATGTTTGTCGTCGACGGAAAGATATTTCCCAAAACTCCGTTTGAAATGTTAGAAACAGGAGATTATAAAATGGGTTTGAATCTAATGATAGGCAGTACTCAAGACGAGGGGTCTGTACTATTGTCGATGTTAGTCGATCCGATCACTTATAACGTAACGTCACCTAAAAATTTCACATTTAATGAAGCTTTTGATACA